GGCTCGGTGGGTGGAAGGGGCGGGCGCGGAGCGGCGGGGGCGGGCGGAGGGAGCGGCGCGCGGCGGGAGCGGGGCCAGGGCCCGGCGGTGCCCGCGGGACCGGGAGCCGGACCGGGAACGGGAACGGGAAAGGAGCGGGAGCGGGACCGGGACGAGCCGGGGCCGCGGCGCCGCCTCCCGGGGGCAGCGGGAGCGCGGAAGAGCCGGCGGCGGGAGGAGAGCGCGGCGGCCGGGAAGAGCCGGCGGGAGGCGGCCGGAGCCAGGCGGGAGCGGGCCGGGAGGAGCCGCCATGGAGCGGAAGAGGTGGGAGCGCTTGGCGGGGCCGCCCCGGGCGCGGGGGGGCTGCGGGAGGCCGGGCCGGGGCTGCAGCCACAGGTGGAGGGGGAGGGAGCGGGGAGCTGGCCCGGGGCAGCCGCGGGGGTGTCGGGGATGCTCGGGCTCCCCTCAGTGATGGGGGAGCGCCGTGAGGAGCCCCCGCGTCCCCTCAGAGCCGCTCCTGCCCTGCGAACACCCGGGGGTTCTTTATTCTCAAATGAGCAGCCGGGCTGTCGTTTCTCCTTTCCCAGGGCTCGCTCTGCCGCTTTTTGGGTGTACTTAGGCATTTTGGGGAGGGAGCGTCGCCTGCCCGCGGCGGTGGCCCCRGAGCGGGCTCGGGATTCGCTTTCCCGGGAGTGTGGCTGTGGGGGAGCGCATGGCCCGGGAGCTGGAGGGTTTCTATTTATAGCCCTGCATGGCTCATATGGCTGTAGGTGGCCATATGGATCCTCCCCGCACCCACGAGGCACCCGCGGGCTGAGGTGTGAAACTCGGGTCCAGCGGGAGCTGGGAGCGCAGCGGGAGTTGTCCCTGTGTCCTCACCTGGCCCTGCTTGTCGGGCAAATCCGTGCCATCAACTTCGGCATCGATCACAGAACCCTCACAGGGTGGTTTGGATTGGGAAAGCACCTTAGAGTTCATCTCATTCCACCCCCTGCCATGGACAGGGACATCTTCCACTAGTCCAGGTGGCTTCAAGCCCYGTCCAACCTGGYCTTGAACAGTTCCAGGGATGGGGCAGCCACAGCTTTAGCTTCAGATTTCATTTTTAGAATCAGATTATGGTTGTGAGAAAAGGGTGAGTGAAGCAGAAAGTGGCATCCTTGAGAGCGTGAAGCAGATTCCGCTTCTGCAGCTCTGAGGCTGAGGGCAGGATGAGACCACCAGCAGCAGCTGAAGGCTTCAGAGATCCCTGTTTTTCCCAGAACTTGTTTGTAAAGTTGCAGTGTTGGAGCTGAACTTCTTTTTTTTTTAAAGGTGGAGAGAGGATAAGTAGCATATTTTTACTCCCAAATTATTATGGGTTTTCCCTTTGTATCAATTTGGACAGAGATCAAAGGTAGAATAGAGCTTTGTTGCGCTAATTTTTGGATTCTGTTGCATTCTGCATTACCTCAGAGTGGCAAACACAGGTGTGGCTGTTTAGTAATACCTGTGCGAGTTCTGCCTGTTGTTTCCCTGAGTGGTTGTTCTGTCCAGCTCCCGGGGATGTACAGATGCAGGGAGATTTTGTGGAAAACCCCCTGTGAGATGCGTGTGTGAGCCAGTCTCTGCCTGGAAATTACACCTTCCTCGAGATGTGACTACCTGGGCAGATTTTTAAAACCAGTCCTCGAACCTTATCCTTAGGAGGGTTTCTGGTTGATGTGGTGAGGCTTGGGGGCTGGATTTGAAGCAAGCAGGAATGCAGGATTTTAGGAAGAAAATCACATAAGGGATTTTGTTAAAGTGGCAGGTTGTCTTTGAGAGAGTTTTGGCTCTGTTCAAACTCAGGCTTCTCACACGGGGGAAGGAGAATTTAGTGCTGCTTTGTGAGGCTTTTTTCTTCAGTGAGTGTTTTTCTCCTGAAGGTTTGATGACCAAGTGTCAGARATTTGGAATCACTGCTCATCTCTGCCTTAGGTTGTTGACATCACTGAGCTGGGAAACTTCACACTCTTGTGTGAAACTTGTTTTGTTGAGAATTCCTTACCTTTGCAGCACAAATGTAAGAAGTTGGAAGAGAATGCTTTTAGCACTCCCCCAAAGATATTTTGGTCAGTATAGTCTTTTCCAAAAAAAAATTTGGAGCAGAATGCTTTTACTGAGTCTGTGCTTTGCTTTTCATCTCTTGCTCTGGCTTGCCTGCAGGGAAGCTCATGATTTCTCTCATGAGAAAGAAACGGCCTTAAGTTGCACCAGGRGACATTTAGGTTAGGCATTAGGGATTTGTTTTTTCATGGAAAGGGTTGTAAAGGATTAGAACAGGCTGCCCAGGGTAGTGTTGGAGTCATCATCCTTGGAAATGTTCAAAAAACATGTGGATGTGGCATTTGGGGACATAGGTTAGTGGTGAGCATGGTGGTGATGCTGGGGTATGGTTGGATTTGATGATCTTAAAGGTCTTTTTCATCCTTAACAATTCCATGATTCCTGAGTTGAGCCCTACAAAAACATCTGGTTATGTTTGTGTTTGTCCCTGTGTTACAGAGCTGCCACTTGGGCTCTTGTGGGGTGTGGTGCTTCTGGAAATTTGGGAGATTTTGTGTGTCTCAAAGTACTTTGGGTTGTTTTTTGGGGTTTTTTTTTTGTGTGCCTGGAGCCCAAGTTGCTGCAGGACAGGGAGCAATCTCTGTTGTCCTGCAGGACAGGGATCATCATCCCTTGGGAGCATCATCCCTTCCACGTTCTTGGGAAGGGTCAGGTCGGGTCTCCAGGGTTGCTCCCTGTGGAGCTGTCAGATGGGGCTGTGGATGTGTGACGCTGTGGGGTGGGCTCTGGCAGTTGGAGGTGTCGCCCACCTGCTTGGGCTTGGTTTTGGTTTTCATGACTGTGCCAGCCCATCCCAGCATGAGCCAGCTGGAGTGTGGGGCCCACGAGGCAGGGCTGGCTGTGGATGCTGCATCCAGGGATAATGTGAGGATGCTGTGAGCCAGACGCTGGCAGTGGTGGAGTGTGCAGTGTCCCGGGGTCCCCTTCTCCCTGGGARCACAGTCGGGGGGTCTTGCAGCCCTCCAGAAGCCCCTGGGACCAGGATTTGCCTGGAGCAGAGCTGGGAAGAGAAGTGAGAGAGCACGATGGAAAGCAAGAAGGAGAGTCATTTTGTGTTCTTCCCTCACCCTATCCTGTGAGGAAGCGAGGTGCTGAGTGTCTGCTTTCAGTGACCTGTTTTCCCTGGGTTATTCCTGCCTCCATTTCTTCCAGAGGCAGGCGGTGCCTGGGTTTGCTCTCTTTTTTTGGTTTTTTTTTTTTTTTTGTCTTTTGTCCCTTGCTTCTCAAGTTGTGCAGATCCTGTGCAGCCTAAACGGGAGAGTGGAGGGGAGGAGACTGTGATGAGGGAGGAGGGGAGAGGGCCTGGGCAGCCGCTCTCTCCTTTAGGATGTAAGGCAGGAAACAAAGGGTGAGCGGCACATGGAGAGCCAGGGCACCTGGCAGGCCTGGCCCTTCAATAGGCTGCCCTGAACGCGGCTTAATCCGCACGGGAAAGTCTGGGAATGAGAGCCGGGGGTGGCTCGGGGTGGGTCCCAGCAGCCAGCTCTGTTTTGTTAGCGAAGCCAGGCAGCCCGAGTGGATAAAGCCCCGGAGCTGGTGATGGACGAGCATGTAAAATCCTTTACAACTTATAAAATCCTTTGCAACTTGGCCGTGTCCATGCCTTTTAAGCAAGGAGAGCTGGGACAGACCCTAATTCGGGAGCCCGGGATCAATCCGGGCTCACAGCGTTGCTGCCTGGGGATTTGTGACAGAGCAGAGCTTGGGGTTTGCAGCTTTGTACCAAAATGTCTCGTTTCTGGACCTCTTTAAAATCTTTGTATCTCCAAACCAGRAGCGCAGAATGTGGCTTTTGTTCTGGGGTGGAAGGAGGTAAATTCTGTATTTTGTGACAATTAAAGGGCACTTTAACAGCACTCAGAGTTCTGTGGTGTTGGGGCAGGCAGTTTCTGTGTCCTGGTGTGCAGCAGGAATCCTGCTCGAGTTTTGTGTTCCTCTGGCTCCCCTCACACACCTCTGACCCTACCAGGTGCCCCAATGTCCTGCATGGTCCTGCCAGAGGGTCCCCAGGAGCTCCAGGACACCCCACCCCGTCCTTTCTCTGTTCATTGTCACCTTTGAGTCATAGCTTTGCTCCCTGATCTGCTGTTGTCCCAGAGAGCCTGGGGATTATCCTGCCTTTTGCAAGACCTAATCAGAATAAAAGTTTTTCTTCTGAACATTTCAGTGCTTTTCCTTTGGGCCAAGCTTCCCCAGGAAGAGACAGGACTCTCAGTCATTTCAGGTGGGTTTTTTGAGACTTTGAGCCAGCTTTTCAGTTCTTCATTGCCAAATGACCACAGCACATGCTAAACACAGAGCTGAAGGGCTCCGTTAACTTAAAACCCTGTTTTTGAGTGTATCTGGCTGTTCTGGAAGATGCTCTGCACTTTAACACATTATTTTTAAACCTGCTAAGACACTAAACCCTAAATTGAAGCAGCAGATCTTGGAAGAGGAAGCAGTGCCATGTTCTTCATGTAGCAGGAGTTTCTTTCCTGGCATCACTGGCAGTGGCAGCTCTGCCCTGAAGCTGCTRGAGTTGGTTATTCCTCTCTCTGGATTGACGTAAACAACTCCCTTTATCATTTYAAAAAATGATTCCCGAGTTTGAGGCTGGACCCCAGTTCTGTTGCTGGCTGCTTGGTCCTACTCTGTGTCTCCTGGTCCGAGTGCAGCTCCATGGGGAGCTGGTCCAGATGAGGAATAACCAGCGAGGGAGTACTTCCTCCTCCTCTCAATGCCCTCCAAAGATGGATTATTTTCCTCAGCTGGTTCATTTGCATGAGCACTGGGCTGTGTGAGCAGTGGTGGTGGCAGGGAGGAGATCCAGGCAGGATAAGCAGCTTGGGAGCAGTCAGAGCCAGGAGCTTGCTAAGCAGATGCTGTGTGGGATGACCAAACCTTTCAGTCTTAACTCCTTGGAGAGATTTTCAAATTTCAGTTTCATTACAATTTATATTAAATTTATCTCAGTTTTTGGAGAGCATTTCATACCTTGGTTCTTTCTGGGTTTGAGGTTTTTTTTAGATCTATTTTTTTCATGCAGAGTCTGACTTGGCCTAATTGTTTTGTCACYGTCCAATACCAGAAATTCTCTGCTTATGCTGGTTTTCCCCTAATAAAGCTTCAGGGCAGCAGATACTGTGTGAAAATAAACTTTTTTTCTGTTTTGTTTTGTTGTTGAGAAGATCCTGGTGAGGTTGTCACTATCTCACCAGTGTGAGTTAAGGTGGTAACTGGCATTTTTGGTCTTAAAATGCCTTTCAGCCCATTAACCTGTGCTAGTGTGATGGATGTCCAGGGAATGAGCTCCCATGTCCTGGACGGGAACTAGGATTGAATATGTATGTTGAAAGGTGAGGAAAACCAGAAGTGAGAGTCATTGAGGGAATGAAAAAGTGCTCTTATGAGGCTCAGTGAGAAAGTGAAGAATGTTTTGTGCTATTGTCTGCACTGCAGCCATAACACACTGACTTAATTTTGCTTTGTGCATAAAAAATAGATTATAATGCTGTATTACTAAAAAAAAAAAAAAAAAATCCAAAGTACCAACAAAGAGTTGGAGTAATTTGTGCCTGCTCCCCAGGCTGAATCTTCGTGGAAACCCAAGTTTTACAGAAGGGCCTTTAATGGAAAGTTTTTCCAAGGTTTTGACCTTTGTCTTTGCACCACTTTGTGATTCTTTGTTTTGCAGCATGTCAAGAGTTAACTTCTGGTTTTCTCCTTCTTTTCTGAAGTGTTCAGGATGCTACAAAAGATGTAATCAAACCTGTGGTTAGAGGGCAGGGAGAGGACGTAAGGAGACATTTGTGGTGCTGGTCAAAGGTAGCAGTCCTGGGAGAAKAAATTACACTTTAAAATGGGCATTTACTGTGATAGACAACTGAGTGAAAAGTGCATCTGTGCTGAGATTTCCCTTGATGGTTATTGTGTGAATTATGCTGCATTTGTTTGCCTGATCTGAATCTTCCACTTGATGTATAAATACATTTTAACAYGGTCTGCACCTGATTTGTCTGTTCCATGTGAGAAGGAGTTAATATGAAAGCAAAAATGCCCACTTAGAGTTTAATGTGAGCTTCACTCTTGCAAGTTCAGCCYACGTTTTTCAGGAACAAAATGAAAATTACCTTTCCTGATTTACACAAGTGCTGRTGTGGAAGTCCAGAGGGTTTAAATTTCCCTCTGTGTATGTTTTGCTGTGTTTTTTGCAGCCCCAGCGGGAAGAAGTTCCGGAGCAAGCCGCAGCTGGCACGTTACCTGGGCAGCTCCATGGACCTGGGCACCTTTGACTTCCGCACAGGGAAAATGCTGATGAACAAAATGAACAAGAACAGGCAGAGGATGCGCTACGACTGCTCCAACCAGGCCAAAGTAAGGCTGAGAGGCAGCAGCACTGCCCCTCCCTGCTGTGGGACAGCCAGAGCAGTGTCTGGGAGAGAGGGACAACGTAGCATCYTGTAACTGAAGTGTGGATTTAGAGTTTACACAACATCTCTGCTGCTGGGGGTTGGACAAATGCTGCTCTCAGGGGTTGGTGCTGTGGAGCCTGCTCAGTATTCTGTGGAGAAGGGCATGGAGCAGTGTCACCTTCCTCTACTCCCAGCACAAGAAAGGCACTGAGCTGTGAGAGTGAGTCCAGAGGAGCCCTTCTGCAAYGGAGCCAGGCTGGGAGAGCTGGGGGTGCTCACCTGGACAGGAGAAGGATCCAGGGAGAGGTCAGGGCCCCTTTTGGGGCCTGAAGGGGCTCCAGGAGAGCTGGAGAGGGACTGGGGACAAGGGCTGGAGGGACAGGACACAGGGAATGGCTTCCCAGGGCCAGAGGGCAGGGATGGATGGGATATTGGGAAGGAATTGTTCCCTGGGAGGGTGGGGAGGCCCTGGCACAGGGTGCCCAGAGCAGCTGTGGCTGCCCCTGGATCCCTGGCAGTGCCCAAGGCCAGGCTGGACATTGGGGCTGGGAGCAGCCTGGGACAGTGGGAGGTGTCCCTGCCATGGCAGGGGGTGGAGCTGGGTGGGCTTTAAGGTCTCTCCCAACCCAAACCATTCCATGATCCCCTTCCATGCAGTGTGAGCTCACCTTCTCCAGCACAATCTCCTCCAGAGCCCCACATCTCCAGCTGAGTCCTGGGGCTGTGCAGCAGCTCTGCCCCGGCCTTTGGTTGAGAGGAGAGGAGGGATTTGGGTCCATAGGGATGAGGAGATCCTGGAGCTCTCTCAGGCCTGGTGGCATCCCAGCTCTGGAACTCATGGAAGGGGAAGTGGCATTTGGGGCAAAAWGCAGGAGAGAGAGAAGAGGACTGTGGGGCCTATTTGTAGAACAGAGTGAAAGGTTCTACAGCTGATAATTCAGATTGTTGAGATTGCCAGCAGGGACAGGCTGCCTGTCTGGAATGATTGTCCAAAGCCATTCCCTTCATCACATGCTAAAATCTTTCCCAGAACCCGAAAGCTTCTGTCTGTGCACCTCAACACTGAATGTGGAAAAAGCACAATGCTCATTTTTAAATACATCCACCAGTCAAGAATCATCATCACGAGARTGCTGGGAACATTGCTTGCAGTCTTGGGTGCTGCAGTGATATTTTGAGACCTGCCTTGAGGCACAGACCAGCAGCTCACACACCTCTCAGSCTAAAAATTCTGCCCAAAACTYTCAATAAATGTACAAATGTTATTACTGGCTTCTGAATGGATTAGTGCCCAGATGGTTCAGAATTATATTTGTCCTGAATACATCTTTTCTACATCTCATGAATAAATCTGTGAAGCAGACKCAGTGTTTGCATCCCCGAGAACAAAGTGTGTCCTACAGCCATTCCAAGAGTTGTGTGTTAGATTTTGGGAATGAGGAACAGTTTTCCTATGCTTCCCCTAACAGAAAATGCAGTCATGTAATGCAAAATTGATTATGAGCCTCATTTAAAAACTGAGCTTTGGTCAGAATGAAAGGTAAAAAAAGGGATCCAGCTTCCAGCTGTGTTCGTTTGTTTATTGCTCACAACTGGATTTAAAAGGAATGCTTTGGAGTGGCTTCTGCATTCAGAAATCAGCCTCTAAATCCCTGCTCATAATTTTTTTATTTATTATAAATACTGTGTTGTAATGCTCTGTTTTAGTGATTACACATGGCTTGCTGTAACTCTTAAAGTCTGTCAAAATGGGGCAAAAACTGATGTGTACAAACCAGAATGGGAGGAGGCTGCTAAGTTAAACAGAATGAGTGGAAAGCTTTGATAGGTGTAAGGCAAGATTTGAATTTAGTTAYGCATTTTTAGCAGCCTAACTTGTATGACTTGAGATCAGACAAGATTTCAAACCCAGGAACTGTTCCCTRCTGCACATTTTCATGGCTGTAGTAGGATTTTAGCAAATTGAAACTATTTTTGTGGGCTTTTCCTTTTGTTTTTGTTTGAAACAGGGCAAGCCTGATTTGAACACAGCCCTGCCYGTGAGACAGACAGCCTCCATCTTCAAGCAGCCCGTCACAAAGATCACAAACCACCCCAGCAACAAGGTGAAGAGCGACCCTCAGAAAGCTGTGGACCAGCCCAGGCAGGTAAGGCTGAGAAGCTCTTGGRTTTGCTCATGGGAGGATCCCAGAAAAATCCACTTTAAATCTGTGATGCTGAACAAATGCTCGCTGGCAATTCCTGATCTCTGATACTTCAGAATTCAAAAAAATCTGATTTTTCATAATGGGGAGCTTGCAGTACTCCCAGCTCTCAAAATCAGAGTAAACCCCATTCCCAATTCTCGAGTTATGGGCTGTGTGCACTGGGATTTATAAACTCCAGCCTTTGGTTAGATCATAATTCCAGTGTAGGAAATGAAGGTTTCTTCATTTCCTTAATGCTGAAATGAAGTATTAACTACAAATTTWGTGAGACATTGTAAGTGTCCCCACCTCAGGCAACACTTAGGATTAGAATAACTGTCAAATGATGCAGCTGTGTGAGAATTCCACATTCCTTGAAATCCRTGTTCCTGTACAGACCACATCCGATGTGGTGTTGTCGTGCAAGGGATTGCACATCAGTGGGAGTTAATTCTGCCAGTGTAAGATCACAGATTCACTTAAAATATCATTATTAATACAAAATCAAAGTATTTTTCTCATCATAATGTGTCTTAGTGAGCCTGAGAACACACCATAATTAAATGAAAGGCTGCTTAGCACAGGGAAAGGTCCTGTACCTGTTGGAACACTGAAAACCTCTTCTGCAAAATCAAAACCCAATTTTGAAGGTAGTTGTTAAGAATTAAATAAACCTAGTTCAATTAGAACCCCCAGATGTGAGACAGAATTCACCTGAAATTGAGTTGGGTGGTTTGTTTTGGTAGTTGAGGGTTTTTTCTGTTTTTTCAGGAGGTTGTCAGTGTCTTACCATGGTTTCCTGTGGAAGTAAGGAAATAAGGAAACCACGTGTTCACTGTGTTGTTGCTATTCCTGTAWTTTTTATAGCTAAGACAATGAAAGAGAACACTAAAGGTAAAATGCCCTCTCCACRTTCTGAGCTGGAGAGAGATTTGTGTTCCTGTGTAAGATATTTTACTGGACTGCAGAACATTTGAACTTTTGCTCAGCAGGCTCCAGATGCTTCTGCAAATTTTAAAAGCCGTGCTAAGTCCCATCATGYKCTGGCTTAAAAATCACAGAATYCCAGAATTCTGGGGGACTGGAAGGAACCTTAAAGCTTATCCCATTCCACCCCCTKCCATGGGCAGGGTCACCTTCCACTRTCCCAGGTTGCCCARGCTCTGTCCAGCCTGGCCTCAGACACTTCCAGGGATCCAGGGGCAGCCACAGCTGCTCTTGGCAACAACAAAGTAAAATAATGTATTTGAAAGGCTAGAGAATATCCAACCTGAGTGTATGGACTGTGACTGCCCACATTCCCCTTTTTAGAAAAGTGATGTGAAGTCAGTCACACTTGGATTTCTATAAGCAGGAAAAGGGGATGGGATGTGCATGGAATGTCTGGGGTAAGTTCTTGATTTCTCAAAACCTCAATAAAAATGTGGTTTTTTCCAAGACATTTGATCCTCTGGCTGTTCATTGATCGCCTTCCTGCACCAGGTGCAGAGCTGAAGGTCTGTCAAGGTGATGATTTTGACTTTCCACCAAACCTGACATTCAGGTGTTCTTAAGCTGGGGGAGAGCCTGGAACTCCAAATCCAGTAAAGGACCAGACATGCTGGAAAGGACCAAACTGCTGGAGAGGAAGAAAATAATATTTCACCTTGAATACAGTTCTGGCATTCCTTAACTTTCTGTGGGATGTGTAGGAGAGCAACAGTGTGTAAAAGAGGCTGTCACACACTGTAAGCTTGTAGCTGAAAGTCAKCAAGCCTGGCCTTGCTGCTGTAGCTCAGAGCAGTGGAAGTACCAGGTCCTGGAAGAAAAGGGTTTTTCAAGGCAGCAAATTGRGACAGAGGAGTTGTGGGGGTCGTTGGCAACGAGGATTGTTCCTGTTGCTGGATGTGGCAGATCCTTTCTGTGGTGAATCCACACTGAATTGTCCCAGCAGTGCTATTCACTCTCTGCACAGGCAGCAGAGATTTTGCGAAGCTCTCAGTTCCATTTCTGGTTGTGCCAGTAACCACCTGCTTTGCAGCTCTTCTGGGAGAAGAAGCTGAGTGGCCTGAACGCCTTTGACATCGCAGAGGAGCTCGTGAAGACCATGGACCTTCCCAAAGGGTTGCAAGGTAATCAGGGGATGCCCTTCACTCTGGGATGGCATTTTGGCACCTGGCAGCTTTGAGTGTGGGTGCTGAGGGTGAGTTCCCTGTTCTCAGGTCCTGGCAGGGCTGTGGCCATTCCTGTGGCAGCAGGAGCTGTCAAGGCCTTTCCTGTGGTCTCAGTGCCCTTTGCCCTGGGGAAAAAACTGAAGCAAACCTTCTCAAAACTTTTTGGTATTAATTTTCCAGAAACAGCAGACAATCCCAGAACGGTTTGTTTGGGAGGGACCTCAAAGCCCATCCAGTGCCACCCCTGCCATRGCAGGGACACCTCCCACTGTCCCAGGCTGCTCCCAGCCCCAATGTCCAGCCTGGCCTTGGGCACTGCCAGGGATCCAGGGGCAGCCACAGCTGCTCTGGGCACCCTGTGCCAGGGCCTCCCCACCCTCCCAGGGAACAATTCCTTCCCAATATCCCATCCATCCCTGCCCTCTGGCACTGGGAAGCCATTCCCTGTGTCCTGTCCCTCCAGCCCTTGGCCCCAGTCCCTCTCCAGCTCTCCTGGAGCCCCTTTAGGTCCTGGAAGAGTGCTCTGAGCTCTCCCTGGATCCTTCTCCTGTCCAGATGAGCACTCCCAGCTCTCCCAGCCTCTTTCAAGCAGAATGGAAACATCTTCCCTTCCCAGTTTGGCGTTTTTTGGGTTTTTTTTTTAATAACACAACGAGGAACTGCTCTTAAATTTAAATACACTTAGAGAGCTGCACAGGTGCTGTTGGGAGCATTCAGCTCTGAGATTTATGTCATGTGAGCTTTCAAACTGACAGCCTGTGCTTTGCCATTAAAATTTAATTCCCATTGTCCTKATTTCCCGCTCCCTGCCTGGGGCAGTGCTGGTTATGGATTTCCCTCCCCCTTTCAGGGGTTGGCCCCGGCTGCACAGATGAGACTCTGCTCTCTGCCATCGCCAGTGCCCTGCACACCAGCACCATGCCCATCACTGGGCAGCTCTCTGCGGCCGTGGAGAAGAACCCTGGGGTCTGGCTGAACACCTCCCAGCCTCTCTGCAAAGCCTTCATGGTGACAGATGAAGATATCAGGTATGAGCTGGAAATGCCTTTGCTTGAAACAAGGTTCCTTGGGCTCAAACAGTGCTTTTCTTTCTGAATGTCTGATGGAGCACTGTGGCTTGGGAATTTATCTGAATGTCTCTGTACCAATAGAGTAGGCAAAAATTGTTGGATTATGTTGCTGTCATGAACTTAAACCCTGTTATTTTTTATTTTGGCCAKGTTCTGTTACTCTGTTAATTTTCAGGCACATGTTTGTTTTTCATGCCCAAGTTTGTTTTTGCTGACAAAGATGTCTGAAATGGGTTAACCTTGACTAAGGCAGAGATGGGATTGGAGAAATCCTGAACAGTGGGATTGGATTCTGTTCACCTTCCTCTGTATCATGAAATAAAAACTTGTGGATTGACCAAATGCAAGCCCTGCCTGCTGTGSTGGCAGGAACAAGGATGCAGTTTATTCTGCTAGGGGTTGCTTTAGTAATGRAATATTGTTAAATCAGGACTGGTCAAACTCAGCTGTAAGCTTTTGATGGAGAACTGAACATACCAAAGGCCTGCAGCATGCAATTTGCATTCATTAAGTTTTTAAAGGCAGCCCTTCCTTTGACTGCTTGATAAATCCTTTGGAATTGCAGGATGACTTTTCTGTGCCTGATTAAGACATAAATGACCAGGAAAAACAGTCTGTTTATGACTTTGATGTCCTGTGGCTKGGCTGAAATAGGAGCCCCATGAGCCACTGATTGCTGATCACTTGTTTGCTRTGACTTTGACTTCTTAGGGTTGGGACTCAAAWGGAAAATSAGCAGAAAGAAATGGCCAGAAAYTTAATTTTCTCCAGGATTATTTTTGAAAGTCTGTGCAGCRTAGGCTAACTTGTTTGATATTAGTACGAGGAGTTAAAAATTAGCATTAGGATAAAAAAAAAAAAAAACCTCAGCCACTACAGTAGCCAAATTTCAGCCAGAATTCAACAGGTGCAGCACTTGTAATAGAAAATACATCACGAGGTTTTTAAGTGTTTTTCGTATTCACTTACAGTACAATGCCAGGCTTTTTTGTTTTGTTCTTGTTAGCTTGGAGCTTTTGTTTTGTTTTGCTGGTTTTTTTTGTTTTGTTGGGGTTTTTTGGGAGATTTTTGGTGGGGGTTGTTTTTGTTTGTTTTGGGGGCATTTTTGTGGTTTTTTGGTTTTTTTAGCTTTTTTTGTTTGGGGTTTGGTGGGGGTTTTATGGTTTTTTTGCTTTGTTTTTGTTTTTTGTTGGGGTTAGGTGTTTTTTTGGGGTTTGTTTTTTTTGGGGGGGCTTGGGTTTTTTTGAGGTTTTTTTTTGTTTGTTTCTTTGTTTTTTTTTGTTTGCTTTTTTGTTGTTTTACAATGGAGTTCTCAGAGGGCTTTTCCAGTCCATGCTTGAACTGTTKGAGGGGTTGGAGACTCTTTTCCCTTGATAGAAGCAGCCTTTAGGGCTGATGTTGGGTGTTCTTGTGCTGGGCAGGAAGCAGGAGGAGCTGGTGCAGCAGGTGAGGAAGAGGCTGGAGGAGGCACTGATGGCTGACATGCTGGCCCACGTGGAGGAGATCGCCAGGGATGGGGAGCCTCCCTCAGAGAAAGAGGGAGCAGAGGATGAAGGAGAAGAAGAGGAGGAGGAGGAGGAGCAGGAMCATGACCAGGAGATGGAGAATGTATAGTCCAGGTAAGGTGACAGTGATATGTCTCATCTTAAATATTGGAGACAGGAAGGTTTTTAGGAAGAATCTTGAATATTGATCAATCTTTACTTTTTAGCCTGTGCTTTGAAAGGTGTGTTAGGTCAGGAGCAGGGGAGGGGGGGATTCTGCCCCTGTGCCCCGCTCAGGTGAGACCCCACCTGCAGAGCTGCCCCAGCCCTGGGCAACAACAGCAGCAGAACGTGGAGCTGCTGGAGCCAGGGCAGAGGAGAGCACGGAGATGCTGCAGGGCTGGAGCCCCTCTGCTCTGGGGCCAGGCTGGGAGAGCTGGGGGTG